TAAGAACGTGACATTACCGTTTGACAGATTCCTGTAATCCGTGCACTTCAATTTTCACTTCCTCAAGATTGCTACATACTTCTGTATTGCTCTTTTCCGCTAGCTCCAACTTCCCTCTACACTCGTCAAGATCCAACTTCTGCTCTGCAAGTTCCTTCTGCGCCGTCTCTAAATTTTGCTCTGTAAGTCAACATACGATATAAAGTTCTCGGCCTTCCATTTATGCAAAATTCTTTATTTTAAGATAAATTTTGGCCATGAATTATGACTTTCGATGTTTGAGACTATAAAGAAGTTTACATTGAGTCTTGAGTAAATAACGAAAGTATTGTTAGAAGAAACCTAAATTCGAGCAAGGTACATAAAAAGCGCCGGCATTTCAGAAGTATGTAAATAAAACGAGCGTCCCTCAAATATTCGAAGCTGTTAAAAATTCAAAACGGCGCGTCCAGCTTACCCAACCATTTTCGGCTGGTCTCGAAAACCGCCTTAGTTATAACCGCCGCGGTTATAAACTCCTCGAACTTTGCATTAAAATGGGCATTGATTTTCCTCGTTAATTCTCTCGGGATTTGCGCTAGCTCCTCCTCACTCGCGATCTCGCGAAGAACGTTGGGCTCGCTCTCCTCGACCGCTTCCATGTCGATCGGATAATTTCTTCGACGATTGGATCAGTCGAGCTCTACAACCGACGTTTTCAGATTCCAAGGTTGAGGTGTTGAATTTCTCTGAACAGGCACCACGTTTGCGTTTCAGTTAATAAACGTTATCCCGTTTCTGCAACGGACACGAACGTTTTATGCGTTATGCAGAACTTGCAGAAGTGTGTGCTCTGGGTGCTCCACGCTTTAACCGCATGGCGGGCGGGTGGTTCTGGTGAAGGGGAGGGGTCAGGGGATGTTCTTCGTGCAGTCACAAGCACAAGCACGTGGCCTTATGAAATTTCATGGGCAGTGAAAAGCAGCAGCAGATCGTACTGATTGGCTACAAAATAGAGAAGTTCTAGGAACTCGAGAACTTCTCTATTTTATAGCCAATCAGTACAATCTGCTGCTGCTTTTCCGGCACTCCGGCACTCGACACCTGCCGACCTGCCGCCATCTGCGGACATTAAACATCTTCGATAGGTTCGAGAGATCGCATAATTGGTTGTCGCACGGATTTAAAAAATGAGTGGTTTGATCTTGATGTTGTACACTGATATACTTCCCCCGATAATTCCATTTGCACACTTCTATTGTCTTCGCGGCTGGAAAAGAATGATAAGAGAGAGATGGCGAGAAGTAACAAGATTTACTCCGTGAGTTTTGCTCCTTTAAATGGACTTTATTTTATAAAACTTTCTCGTTCGAGTCAATTACAAAGACGTTATATCGCTCGACATTGAGTTTTCCCGCTAAGACGTTTGCTCTTTGTAGCCGAACTCTTTGTACTTTTCATAATTCCCCTTTCTTCGTTGTTTAATTGTATTTCGTTTTAGGTACAAAATTATACGACGCAACATTGCTGCAAAAGAAACAGATCCAGGATCGATATACCGACGAGACGATCCGTGAACCAGAGTGACGACAACTCCGGGACACGTATACACAATAAGCTGATCATTTATTTGAGTAATTAATTAAACTTAAATTGCGTTATAATTATATATGCACTGATCCGTAACGTCTAACAACATTCGTGCGTTCACGCGAAGGTGCACGTCGGGTGCCGTGTGTTGGATTTTATCCCTCACTTTTACAGTCCGAACGTTTACTCGAAATAGAAAATCGCTAATCGCGAATTACATAATCAATATATGCCATCGGTAATTAATAAAGTTAATCTACATAGAAGCGAGTTTTAAGTAAAAAATTCCGAACGCCGCATATGAATACGCTACCTATATATATATATGTTACACAATCGGTGTTATTCGATATCCGGCCATATAAAAACAAACGGATCACTTCTAGAAAGTATAAGCAATACTTGATTAGTATAACATATTCTGACGACAGGATGATAGAGAACCAATGGACTCATTAACGGCTTCCTTTGCAGCTTTTCTCGTGAATGTTCACACGATCGGGATTAAAGGTCCTTCCGCAACGCTTGCAGGGCACCAGCTGGCTCAGATGCGTCATCCAGTTGGCCTCCACCGTCGCCGTCTGGTCGACCACCATGCTTCCCGTTTGAGGATCCTCTGCGAACAGTCAAGTCATTGCCGACTGTATCGTACCTTGAAAAGCGTAGGGGAAGCTTTAAGAGCCTGTGGTTCTTAATCGATTCTTAAATCGGTTTGTATACAATTTCCTTGTCTTGTTTTAAATCGATAATCTCGCCACTATTTCACTATTAAGGCAGCTCTAGAATTTAAATTTAAGATTCGCCGTTAATTCTAGTTCACGGCGATGTTTGGATTTAAATTCTTTACGATTTTAGTCCTATGGCTATGTTCCAAAATTCACTGCCAGCGCTGGAAATCTATAGTATACGTAACGTGTACTATAAATTTTCAGCGCTGGCAGTGAATTTTGGAGCACAGCCTATATGTAAAACGTGAGACAAAAGATTTTCGTCCCGTTCTGTCAAGCAATTATCGATCTGTAGGCGGCACTCCCAATCGAGAATACATCTGCGACGCATGTATAATTAATCAAGACTACACCCACTTCCATTCTATGACAGGACACGATGAACATTATGAATTCATATATTATACATGAGCGTGTAATCGCTTCGGCCCAATGGATTCACTTCGTAGTACTCTTGACCGTGATTCAGAATGAACTTCAAGGTGAGAGACAGGAATAGGCGCGAAAAGGGCAAATGTGTATTGCATATCAAAGAGACATGCATGAGCTCCGAAAAAAATCAATTCTGAGCAGTATGCATTAGGTGCTTTTGAGATTGTTTTTGCGCTCGGCAAAAGAAAAGCGCGGAGAAAAGAAGTAAAATTTGTCAAATTAAAAGATAGAAATTGCAATATGATTAAATATTTAATAACAACTTTAACGTCCATTTATACCAATGTAGATTAACTTTAATCTCGGTTTAACTTACCTTTTATCTTTTTCTAACTCTTATGTTTATTTCTACCAACGTAGATTAACTTTAATCTCGATTTAATTGACTTTTTATCTTCTTCTAATTTACAGAACTAACAATAAGAAAAGATAAAAAGTAAGTTAAACCGAGATTAAAATTAACTTGCATTAATAGAAATGAACATAACATAACTTTAGCATATTAAACACTTTAACTAACATATTAAACTTTTCTTCTAAGTATATTGTTAATGTTTCCGATATTTTTTTTATTTCCGCGTTACATTTACGCATACACGCGCGTATAAGTATTATGGAAACGAGAACGTTGACTTACGTATGTATATAATGTCGGGTTTTTGCGGCTCCTTTCTTCTTCGAGCCGGCGACAGCTTGTCATTCTCGGCATGCCACTTCTTCAAGCACTGGGGCTCGTGAATGGCGATACTGGAGGATCCGAAATCTCGGCCACAAATATAACACGTAACTGTTTTCTTTTGCGGTAAATCCTAAAATCAAGCAGTTTTATACACGCGTCTCCTTATTTCTCTTGTTATAAGCCTTGCTATAAGGGTAGAGTTTGAAGAACTCTACCCTTATTCTTTTATTCTAGTCGTTATAGCAAACTACTTTGTCTCACATATGACAATCCGATGTAAAAGTGCTTTATTTTGCACATAACAAAGAGAACGTTTATAGAACGTTATAGAAATTCAGAACTTTTGTTGTAAATGTCACGGAATATTAAAAAGGCTGGCTGCAAAGGGGAAACATTTATTCGCACAAAAATTATATAGTAACACGAGTTCAGAAATTAAAGCGCGTATGTTTTCCGTGTCCTTTAGAACTCACCGGATACATCGACGATTTTTCCTGTCCACTATCGGCTGATTTCTGTTTGTAGAGGGCTTGATCTTCCTGCTGACTCTGCGCTTGCCATCGCCTGTTGCACTGAGGCTCGTGGATCTTGATGCTCCTGGTGCCGAATTTTCGACCGCAAACGCGACAAGGAACAGTAGGCGGCCCATTACGCACGATTGCTGTCGTGGCCAGTCGTTCGTTATTCTAGAAGAACAGACGACACGTGGAAAATATATAATGCCAAAGGAACTGAATGAGTTTAATACCTTCGGCGTGGCTTTGCAGCTTCTCTCGTGGACCGGCAATCGTTCCGGCAAAAACGTCCTTCCACACTTTGCACACGGAACTAATTGCTCCTAAAAGAAAATCCAGGTTCTATTTTTATTTAACTACAGAGAAAAGAAAATGTGTATATTCGCATTTAATTATATCAAGAGAATCGTATGTTTTATACAGAAATATATTAACAAGTTAATTATCGCACTGATAAGGACAGTGATTTAATTAATAATTGCAAAGTGGCCTGAGAAAGATTATTTGTTTAAAAAAAGTCTTTATCCAGGCCATCTCTGAATCGGTGTTTGCTCATGTGTAAATGTTGAAATCGCTGGTAATCACAGAGTATTAAAATCACCAATCTATCATTCGGTATATGACGAACGATTCTGACTTTTTACGCAAATGGTAGTTAATCGTCGGAGACCCTCCCTACACAACGCGCAGTCTTCATTTGATATGCGCTCGTGCGAGTCGTATGCATATGAGATGTTAAAGAGCAGTCTTTAATATTCGACGTTGGAATCACGCACTCGTGAAAAACACGAAATCCTCGTAGACTGCGCACGCGATACGTATTCTTATTGAAACTTATAACTCGATTCTAGATAAACTCGCGAGGAATTTTTCAAAATGTAAATTCGGATTTATTAATTTTCTTTCTCCAATTTCGAGAGTAAGACATCCAATTTTACAGAAGCGAATTCTTTTCGTGTTTGATTCACCAGGTACATCTTTCCGGGCGCTCCTAGAGCCCCACATGTGCATTCTATAATTGAGTCTTGCATCATCGACAAAAGGATTGCATCGTCGTCCGACAAAATTAACGAAGCGCAAACAGCAATGTTCGCTCAAGTGGAAACGACGCATTTCGTACGAACGACTGCTTCATGATATATCCGTTAACCGTTAACGCGGCAATATTAATTAAAATTGCAACGAAGGATCTACCTGACTTTGCTCCCATGCGGCTGCGTTCCAATCGTTGTGCTCGATGCTAACCGCGGGTCTTTGCGGCCTGGGTCGTCTTTGAGACGGAGGCAGCATGTTATTCTCGCGTTCCCATTTCTGTAATAAAGATGCTCGCTTGAGTAAACATATAAACGATATAGTACAGAATTATTATAAATAAATATATAACATAATAGTTATTTTGCGAATAAAAACAGATCAGATAATTTTATCGTTATTTAAAAATTCTTGAAGAACTCTCTTCTCTGCTAAGAACTTTCCAACAAATTTGTACGCGACTTCTCTTGATATACAACGTGCAACTATTGTATCGATTTTATATTGCAACACATTACTGCAGTGGTATGCAACTGTAATTTGCTGTAATGTTTGTCGATTGAAAATATGCATACTATTCATATATAGATAAAGGTGACGGCGTGCAAATGGGAATTTTACTTATCGATCGCGAAAATCGCGATGTGAAAAGCGAGATGATAAGAATCGGGTAGCGTCACGTTCGGCGCTAGGCTTGCGCGAGCAAACGCGGGATATAGAGTATTTCATTAAATAATCCATCGTTACGGGAAAAAAAACGCGGCCGCTCGAAGACACCCCGTATAAAGCGTACAAATTGCCGCAACCGATCGCTGCCTCTCAACCAGCTATAGCTCTCAACTATGACACATCGGTTACACGCGAATGCATCTGATATCGAGCTTAATGGTACATGCAATGCGACGTTATACCACCATCGATCTTGGCGAAAGGGCCTTGACTTATTACATGCGCGCTACTGTTGCAGAGTTATATTATAAACCTTCTGTTGCTTCCGCGACGAAATGGGGAGAGGAATTTATCGGTTACTCCACGACCTCTCTCTTCAAAATGCCAGTTGCATGCCACCCTAATTTTAGGCTTCAATCTATTTTTAGGCGCGTACAAGTGATTCGAAGTAGAAGATGGATCGTACTATGTCAGCGATAATTATATTAATTATTATGTTTTAGGGCTATAGGGCGTACGGACAATGTCGTGGCCACCTTTACCTCCATGCACTTAGGCTCGTGTATGGGATAACTGGCGGTGCCGAATTCCCGACTGCATACGTAGCACGTGATGGTTTTGCGCCCTCGCTTCATCCGCGCGGACGACGATCTGTCTTGCTGATCCGGATCCTGAGAGGGAAGATCCTGAGGGACGACCGGACTCGACTTTGTTTCGACGTCATCTAATTTATTCTTGTTCCGGTCGCTACGGAAGTTTAACGCTACCGGCTTCTGGATGGACTTTGGTACCGGTGGCGGTGGCACAACGGGTTTCGGTTTCGTCGTCGTCGCTGGGATATCCTTGATTTTCTGACTGCCCTTCGGGTGACTGTGGAATCTCTCCGGCTGATCCGGACGTCCGCAGGTCTTGCAAGGCTCCGGGGCAAGGCTTTTCGCCGACGTGGCGGTAAATATTTCCAGGTCACTCGATAAACCGGATCTCGAGTTCTTCTTCTTCACCGTCGATAGCACTTTGGGAGGACTGTTTCTAATTACATGAATTTAAAATATGTAAGTATAGAATAAAACAGTTGTTTGTGAAAATGAGAGGAATAAGTAATCATGATCCTTAAATGATGCTGTAATTACTTTTCAAAGATAAAATGCAAGACTTTCAAAATTTAAAATAAATCTTTTAGGTATAAACATTTGATATTTTTTTAATAATTTAAAGAAGAATATTATTAACTCCATTAATCCGCGATTACAATTTAAATACTACTAACTTATTATTGTTATCGTCGAGCCTTTTCATGTCGGAGTTTCGTTTGATGGACGCATGCTCCTGCATCGCGGTGGCGGCGGGCGACGTAGTCTTCTGACTTCCAGCGGGCGATCGCGACCCGTCGATCTCCTCCATTTGGCCCTTTGCGACCCGCGGCTCGTAAATCTGCTCGATGCTCCGTCGCTTACGACGCACTGGGACGTCGTCGCGAGACAACCAGGTGGTGGTCGTCGCGACGTTGACGGCGGCGCTCTGGCGTCGTCGTGTTGCTGACGGCGGTGACGGCAACAGCAATGAGAGGGACGACGATGACGACGACGATGTCGTGCCCCCACTGACCGGCTTGCCGTTCGTGGACAACCGATGGAAACGCGTCATCGAGTCGCTGAGCAATTCCTTACTGAGCAACGACATGTCGAGCTTATCCACAAGCGCGGGGTCCAGCACACTCGGCTTCGCGAGATTCGCCGTCTTCGGCCTCTCCGGCTCGTCCCCGCAGAAAATCTGCACGCGCTTCACCTTTGGCGGCCAGGTGCCGGTGTGCGTCGCATTTTTCGTCGCTGCCTTTTTGCCGTCTGTTGTCTTGGTCGCCCCTATTTAGACGAAGACAATCCGTCGTTGATAGGAAGCGTCGACGCGAATGTAGATTAGTTAACCCATTGAAAGCCATATAATAGTTACAAGAAATTTCAATACACGCTTTTTGATTTTTTAAATACCTCAGATTAATACTGTGATTATCAGATAGTTAAGAATTAAGATCTGAAAACTGAAAGTAATTATTGAAGAATACCAGGGATAAGTATTGAAGATTTAAAAAAGAAGACCAATTATTACAATCATTTTTATTCGCGATAAGATTTTATTCCAAAAATGTGATGATAGCTTTCAACGGGTTACCATGTCGTTATCACACATTTCGAAAATGATCAGTCACAAAAAAAGAAATCGGTGACTAATTGTTTTTGAATCGATATAATGTTCCGTTTCAGGATTAAATTAGAAAGAAAATTTTTGGCACGGTGAAATATTAATAAGCATTACCTTTCGAAATATCCAAGTCATCCTTTATTATGAGGAACGTTTTCTGTGACAGAAACTCGCACGGTCCTCTCTTCCACTTCATGGTGATTTTATCGATATCGTGATTTCCTCACAAATCACGGGTACAAAAGTTCGCGAGCTGCTCTTATCGCGATACGAGCATTATCGTATTTTCCGCCGACGATAGATTTTCTTCCGCGAACGCATCCGTTCACTCCCGACGCTTTTTACATCGATATACCAGACGAAAGCGATTAAAGAGTCAAACTTCAAAGTTCAGCGCTTCAATTTCATTGTTTTAGAAGTAAAAACTTCGTTCTGTAATTTGCCGTATCAGCGACGTCTCGGAGAGCTTTCGTGCCGGAAAGGGAACGTTTCTCGACGCCTACTAAATTTCGCTTTACGCTTCCCACACATACACGAACGGTCGTCGCTTTTCTTCGAATGCGAGTTTATCCGATTGACGTCACGAACGTGTAGCGTTTTTCCCGTCCGATGAACAGGTGGTAGGTATCCGTACGATGCCTATGTTACGATCCAAATGAGTGGCACAGGAAATCTGATCAATTATAATTATAGTATGAAAGGGATCAGACAGCGCTGAGATAATTTACACCGCCCGAAATAAAAATGCGGGCGCGTCCGCTATCCTTTGTTTTAGAAAATCGCACGTGCAAATGCAAACACGAACACGTAGATAACGGGCCGCGGTCGTCGGTACGCAGTCCACGCGATCATTTATTTTTAATTGTGCGTGAGCGCGAGCGGAAGCGGAGGTTCCCGACGACGCGCAGCTCCTTGCCATCGAATTACGCGGCGTACTGCGAGCTCGGCTTCACCTTGCCATTAGCCCCGCTTTTACCTTTCTACATGTATGGGTGTGCGGTCGACTGTGTGACAGTACACAGGTGGCAGAGGAAAAATCGATCCAACGACCGCCGTTTAAAACCGCTGACTATACCGCGCCCGGCGTGTACTGCGTGTTCTCGTCATCGCGCGGAAGTCGTTCGAAACGAGCGAGCGATAAACGATATGGGCAGCTGCAAATTACGCATTATTTTGTCAACACAGAGCCGCTTCGTATCACGAGACTTTTTTATTCTTTTTTTTTAAATATAAATATAATACTAAAAAATTCGCTCACGTATTGTACAATGGAACGATACGATATATATACAAGTCGTCCATAAAATTATATATGTTATGTAAAGATATGTACATGCGTTAACGGCGGTATCTATATCTCTTGAAGTGAAACCACAGCTGGAAAATGTTGTTGTGAAACTGACACCTAAATCCACGCTTGTACGAGTACTCCCATTCTCGATTGACAATTTTGAACGCGATGTCCTCGTAAGGCGGTCCCGCGTGAAATCGCAGGAGAGCGAAATCTTTGTTGTCGGCGCAGGGTGTCTGAAAATCAAAGACGGAATCGAGAATTATTTATCGAGATTAAAAGATTGAAATCTCATTACCATAATTTGCAACTCGGAGAGCAATGTATATCTTACAAGGAAATATTCCGGCGTGGTATTCTTGTCGATGAGGTCCGGATAGAAGATGTTGAATTTGTAGCCCTGCACGATCTTCGGCGGCGGATTGTCCATGTCGTAGTGCGTCTGATTGTACTTGTTCCACTCGAAGCCGGTGTGCACGCGGTTGAAGTAGCGCGGTTTACGCGGCCGATATTTATCGGACCACAGATAGATCTGCGCCTCCAGCGACGACTCGACGCTGAACTGCGCCTCGTCCGAGCCCATGCCCTTGCGCGCCTCCCGGTGCATAGCCTGCTCCTCACTCGTCAGCACATTCTGAATCTTCCTGCCGGTGCTGAGGACCTGCTGCCTCGCGTACTCCAATCGCTGACTGTCCTCCTCCTCCTGCGTGATGAACGTGCCCGGTTCGAGTTGCGAGTAAGACATATAAGTGGGCGAGTAGCCGCCCGTTTCGTACTCGCGAAAGGATTCGGACAATAGATCGTTGGCGGCGTTTGTCTCTTCTCGATCATCGCTGAAACGTATGGCACGATTACGTATTTTCTTATTACTACCAACAAAGATGAGATAGACTCAAATTTCGATGTATAAAAAAAAACAGATAACACGGGAGAGAATACTCACTCAGAATGACTATTTTCGTCCTTCTCGACAGCTGTGCTGGATGAAGGTTCACCTTGCTTTACAGTTGACTCGTTTTCCTGCGACTGTGAGCCTTCGGCCTCGTTTTCCGCTCTAGCCACTCCTTGCTCGGCAATCAGAACTTCCAACTTTTTACGCAAGTTTTCTTGATGCCGATCTCTGAGCCGCGCCCTCGCCATGTGGGCTGCATATTTAAAACTTATTGTTAATATGAATCGGATGTATCATTATTTATAGTTTTCAAATACATTATTTATCGTATCTTACCTTTTAACTGAGACAAAAGGCTTTCCCAATATCCGATATCGACGCCTTCTGGCTTCCCTGTAATTTTCCTCTGAATTTGCAATTGCAAGGCTTCCAACTGCGTCGCGGTTTTACCCTTAAAAATGGCCGTGACATCTTTGGCGACAGATTCATGAATCCCTTCTCTTCTGCCAACAGCTAAAAAAAGAGATGATGCGAGTGAAGCGAGCAAACAAGAACAATAAAAAATAGGGGAGAGGAAAAAAAAAAGAATCTCACCAACTTCGTATTCCGTTCGTTCCAACTTCCTGAGTTTGTGTAATTCGTCTTCCACGATTACCGTTATATCGTTCCAGTAATCTAAGTTCTTGCCCCTCTCGAGTTCCTTGTAAACCTTTATGTCCTCTATAAGGTCCTCCAAGTCCTTCACGTGCAGACCTCGCAAGTACGTGTACGGCTCGTGCATCTCCACCGCGTCGACCTCTTCCTCCGCGCTGATGTATTTTGCGAGAAGATCGATAGGTTTCGCACGGCCGTCCTGGATCCTGATGCGGGATCTCAGTCTGGCTTGCTCGAGGTGAAACTGATCCTCCTGCCGAGCCCATTGCTCCAACTGGGCGGCCTCCTTGCCTCGCTGCAACATGGTCATCTCCTCCTCCCTCTGCTGCCGCTCCAGCTCTCTTTCCTGCCTCCTTTTCTTCACCTTCTCCAATTCCCGCTTGTTCTCCTCCTGCTTGTGCCTGTTACGAATCTCCAGTGCCTCTCTGCCCACGCCGAGCAGGCCCTCCTTTCCCAGCTTCTTTGACCATACAAAGGTAGACAGGATGTTGCCATCTCCGAACGGATTATCTGTATTCGTGTAGTGCAAGTAGTCGTTGTCCCAGCCCATTCTCTCCTTACGCTTGCGTTCCTTGGCTTCTTTCTTTTTCAGGCGGCGCAAACGCTTTTCCTCCGGGGTCTCCGTCGCCTTCATCAATTCCTTCTGACGTTTACGCTCCTCCGTCTGCTTCTGCCGTTGCTTCTGCAGTTTCTCCAGCAATTTCGTGGAGTCCGAGGACGAGTCTGTGGACGAACCGTTGCTGGACCTGCTCGAGTCAGACGAGGTCGAGGACGACGACGATGAGGATGACTCCCTAAGTAAAAATAATATACTGAACTCGGAGATACAACTTTGAAAGATCCCAGATAGCATAATATAGTCTGACTATTCTATTTAACATCAAATGTACTATTTTGAGGATATTCTGTAAGAATATCATCTGTGAATCTAAAAGAATATTTTGTAAATCTGCTTAGAACAGTGTACTTTGAGTTGTACTTAGAATGATCTTATTTTGAAGTTCTATGTGGATTCATTGATCATAGTTTTTTTTCCATTTTATTAGAATATTCAAATATTTACTGAAGACTATTTACAAGGTAAAGATAGAGATAAGATAATGGTAGGTAAAATATAGAAGAGGGACAGAAATTTAATTACATGGAATTAGGCTTTGAGTTTTATGGTAGGTCATGGAATAGTAAGGATTATATAAAGGAATTATGTAGGAAAATAGAATTGCAGCTAGGAGAATATGGAGATTAGGAGATAAGATTTACATGAATGATTTTAGAATGAGAGATGTTATTTTGTAGACAAAGCATGATGTCATTTATTCTATGTGGTTGAAGAACACAATTAAGAAGAAATATTGAAAATGTATGGAATGACGATTAGGATAATGTTAATGATAGCGCACTGTGAGTATTGAAGCTATAGGCCTGTTCTTTTTAGCTGAGCATCTCGCATAGTTTATCTTATCTCTTTTTCTCTCCAATGTGAAAAGAGGAAAGACGAACCGTGCAAGAAGTTCAGCTAAAAAGACAAGCCTTATTTATGAATGTATTGAGGTAAATTGTAAACCAAGTCCACTCGGCTTTGTAGCTGAAGTTAAATAAAATCTATCTATCACTAAAGGATATTTGTAGAATGTTTATAAGACTAGGTTTGTGCTATCTGGGATGATTTGCAGAATTTACAGAAGAGACCCACCTCTTTCGGCTCTTATGCTTGGAAGACTTGCGCGACTCGCGACGCGAGCGGGAGTCGTCCCTCGACTTCTTGCGCCTCTCGCTGGACCTCGCCGAGCTTTCGCGTCTGGATTTCGAGCCACTCGACCGGTGCTCCGCGCGATCGCGGATCCTCTCGCGCGTCCCTCGCGACGTTCGGTCCTCGCCCCTGCGATCATCGTCGCGCACCTTCCTCGATCTGTGTTTACTGTGGTCGCGCGAATGCTTCTCCATCGCGTCAAGGCATCAGCGAAAAAGAAAGACAGATAAGTAAATAAATCGTCAACCCTGCGGCACCTAACCTCACTTTCTCCCCGAGGGGGGAAGAGCCGGATGTCGGACGAACGTCTCAGACGCGCGCCATCTTGCCGCGGTCGGCGCAGCTGATCCCGGACGACGCGAGTCAACGTCGGGGAGACCGAGAAAAGAAGCAGAAAAACCGCCGGCGGGATTTCGCCTCGTCGATCCGTCCACTTCGCGCGATTTTAACCTCGTCGCGCGAAAAATCGACGATGACGCGGGGGGGTGGGCGGCTCCTCCCCGGGTTGACTCTGGCCCCCCTCTTGACTCGCGCAGTCCCCGCGGCCTCCACTCCGCACGCTCGGCCGGCACATCCGTTGGAACTTTCAAATTAGACAGCGTACGCACGCACGCGATCGAGGGTGGCCTTCTCGGAGAGTGCCCGCCGTGCCCGTCTGGCGAAGAGACCCAGCGCGTCTCCAAAATCGGTCATTGTTCCCGCCTAGAAACGCCACCACGGAGTCGAAGGACGCGATGCCGCACATCTACTACTCCGACAAGTACTACGACGATAAGTACGAGTACAGGTAGGCGATCGTCCCCGGCGTGAGAGAGTGCCCCCGGGGCCCCCCTGGCCCGAGACGCGTGGGACCCCGCGATACGTAATGGCGTCCCCTCTCCCCGTGCAAATTCCCACGTTGAACGTCTCTCCTCGGGCGTCTTTTACCCACCGTCGAGCATTTCTGCGCCCTTAATCCGGACCCTTTTTTCCCCTCTCCTCGTTGCCGTTCGTCTCGCCGGCTCTTCGGGATCGAAACTTTTAAATGGCCGATCGAAGGTTCCCGAAACCAGACCGTCGTTTTATTTCGGATTGCGAATCTCATTTGGTCAGGACCTCGGTAACGCGCGGCATTTTGCTTTTCCTGGCGAGGAAGCACTCGCGACGGCCGCGACGAATGCTCTCCTGTTGGAAGGACGCGTGAGGAAAAAAGGGATAAATCATGCTACCGAGATATGATTTTCAATGCGCGTTCTCTTCGAGCTAAAAGGATGAGAGAAAAATTCGACGACGATTCATCGCGATTATAGAATTGTTACAATGTTAATTAGAAGCTGCTATTTCCATGCCTGACTGTGCCAATTTTTGAAATCTATACGTGTAAAATTGAACGAGAAGTCGAGCTCGGTTAAATTTCTATTCTTTTCCTTAATCAACTGGGATTTGTACGTTCAGATGGAGATTTCGCATGTTTATGAATTTCCTTAAAAACTTTTTCACTTTTTCTCAACTATGTACGCATAAGATCTTGAAAAATTCGGAAGTCAAGCTTATTGTACATATTTCTAATTTTTTTCTGATGTATTTATTAATTTAGTTTTCTGTCTTTTCATTCTTATTTTATTGTCTTCTCTTTGCCCAGGCATGTCGTTTTGCCGAAAGAAATGGTGAAACTGGTGCCGAGGACTCATCTGCTGTCCGAGCAGGAATGGAGAGCTATCGGAGTCCAGCAAAGTCAAGGATGGGTGCACTACATGATTCACGAGCCCGGTAAGTACCACAGGACATCCTAGTATACTTTGCGTGTAAGTACTCGTTGCGGAGATCTTTTAATCGAATTGTGAATCACATTTCAGAACCACACATTCTGCTGTTCAAGAGGAAAATAACGACGCCTCTGGAGCTGAGAGGGGAAGAGAATTGAATGCAGCCAAGTTACGTCGTCTTGTAAATAACAATTCAGATCATGTTCATATTTATGGTGGAACATATTTACGATCACTCACCGCGTCTCTCATTCTCTCTCGGTCTCGCTAGCAAGACCGATATGGTGCGCCTGCGTACAAAAATACACTTTATAAAAGTCTGCGTGAAAGAATGGAGAAATCGCGAGCCAATCGTATAGAAATATTTCGACGAACGTCCACAGAATAGTATGTCCATGGTCGTGTTTATTTCTAATTACTTCGCATTGCCATTTGTAAAAGAAATGTCAAGCAAGTATGCTGTATATATGTCTATAGAGTATGTTAGTTCTTAATCTCAGTTTAGCTTCTCTAATTCTTTTCTCCTCTTTGCATTGGAAAACTCGAGAGTTAAGAGATACGTCGCGATATATATTAGCTCCGAAATAAAATGAAATATTCTAGTTGCTTCCAAAGACTGGTGATTCCGAAGCGTAGTAATTCATAAGAACATGTGATTACAGTGCCTTCTCGTAGGAACCAAAACCTTTCAATTTAAATTTTAAGGCGCCTAGGATAATCGTTTTCCTTTTAAGTTTGACATTTAACGCGAAAATTTTTTAAATTTATACGAGGGAAGTGTAAACGTATTTTAAGTTCTACGTAATTCGTTCGTTTCGATTTTTTAGCACCTTGACTTTGGCACGGGAAGTCTTGCATTTATTTTCTTTTTTTCTGTCGCGATTTTTATGTTCTCCCCCGTTTCGAGTGAACCTATGTGCCGCATATGATTTATGTATCTTAAAAGCTATATAATATTGGCTACATTAATTTCATACTCGAAATACATCAGGTCTTTCCCACGTTCGCGTTAGCTTTAGCATCCGGGCGATTTTGGTTTACTTTTTTTTTGTAAGAAAAGAAAAAGGAAAAATGTATTACCAATATTGTGTTGAATAAATGTTTGCATTTATGAGCCATGTTAAGAGTTTCTTTAATCCCATTGCATTAACATTTTAAGTTAAACAAAAATCCATTACGCTCGACTGATATAATCGACTCTAATATAAATAAAAAAAAAACCCCCCAAGATTTTTGGGATTACTGTCGCTGTACGTCAGTGTAGAGAGGAACAGACTTTTATTTCATAAAAATGTACATCTAAACGCATATATTAAATTTTAACGAGTACGCAATTAAATATAAATTTACACGTAACTGTACTCGCGAAATTCTCGACGAGTGACAATTACTTCCTACGCGTTAGAAAAATTTAACGCCTTGATTATCATCGAACGAGATGATCTCTGCCTTTCTGGCAGCTTCCAGCGTTCTCAGTGATCTGATCAACACTTCCGTATCCAGACCGTGGAATTCTAAAACAGATCGAGATACGACAATTATTTAACGACTATCCATATGACTGACACGAATGACAGACAAATGATTTAACTAAATTATTCGATATACCTTGCTCAGTCGTGTCTTCCCCCTGCGTCAGTTCAAAAAACGTGCACACAGAGCCAATGAAGCCATTCTCCTGCGCATAATTATATATTATATCGCCCCATTCTTCTAAAGTATGCCAATAAACCAACCATCTCTGTTTGGTCTTATCTAGCGGAGACGCATTGCCCGATTTTCCTAATTCTTCCAGTATCATCAGCACACCTTCGGACGGCAATCTTCCTGTTATCGCATTGTTAAGGAGCTCTCAACAGCATAACAGATAAACTATTCTAATTAATATACCATTATATATTAGGAAACTACGATAATAAGCTATTATAATCAAGAGGAAACTTTAGTAAATTGCAACAAGGAAGTGAATCGCTGAGAACACTGACGAACAGCAGGACACGAGCATTAAATATGGGTGTACGACAAAATTAGCGGAATAATTGTCATTTTGTGCAACGAGTAGGAAGGATACTATTAATGCTGGCGTTATTAAACAGAGGATTCGTGTGCACCTCGCGCACATCCACAACTGCCTGCTTCGTGATGCGGTAGTACTCGAGCACCAAACTTTTCCAGGCCGCTATCTGCTTAGCTCTCGTATCCGCGTGAGGCTGAAGCCTGCAATGTATAAAGCGTAGTCGTTAGATAAAATCTCGAATACTTGTCGAATTGCCAGATCTGTAGATACGCTCTTGCCCGTAACCTACGTTCCTAACCTACGAACTTTTGTCGAGACGTATTTTGCAGAGATACAGTTATTGAATTTTGTTAATCCTGGCACAGGATATACACTGTTGGTAGTAAATTTAATAATCCCATTGGAATATATGCTCCTAGAAACGATACTCACGTAAAGAATGGGGGGAAGCTGTACTGCCAGGGCCACTCGATCTCTGCCATTGTTTTGGTCATGGACACTCGTGGACTATCACAGGTTATTCACAGGCAGCTGTCACTGTCACACGTCAGACGTCTCAGAAATATCGATGGAGAAATAATTGCAACATTTAGTAGATTCTTCATATATATATTTTATTACAAAGAAAATCAACGAAAAGTCGTGTCTTCATTACGAATGATTAACAAAAAGTCTTTTATTCATTAAACAAAATTAAAAGAAACGGTATCATTGCATTAACATTTTAAGTTAAACAAAAATCCATTACGCTCGACTGATATAATCGACTCTTATATAAATAAAAAAAAAAAACCCCCCAAGATTTTTGGGATTACAAATATAAGCGTACATTCCGGAATATCGGATCTCATTCATTATATAAAAGAATTATCCATTACGCTCAACTGATATGTAACACAATCGGCTATATAAATAAAAAATAATAGACCCCATGATTTTTGAGATTTTAAATATAAACTGATATTCCGGAGTATCGGATTAATCTTTTTGAGTTTGTTTCGTGAAGACACATAGCGATTCGCGGTTGTAGTTCATAGTTTTCTCTGCGTCCCATCCGTTGCATTTTTAAATTAACGTTAAATTCCATTTAACTAGGGTACTTTTTCATTTCGCACGCGACACGTTTTCTCCAGCATCAAAACACAGCCTTTAATTTGTATCGGTCGCTTAAATTACACGCTTAAATTACATTAGTTACAAAGACTCCTGTAAATAACTATATACTGATTAGTGTAAAAAACATACTCCGGCGCGACGTTTCTAAACGGAGTTAAACTAGCAAATGGATTCTCTCCACTATACAGATAGTTTATCTTTCTACCTAAGATTCTGTTTATTTTGTCTAACTCCGTCTTAAACTTCTGTGTAAAACAAGTTAAGATGAATGGACAGTTTTGTTTCGCTATCAGCTTAATGGACGGCGCCCGGAAATATGGGATTTCCTTACTGAATCCAAGTTCATGCACCTGAATAATCTGGTCAAATCCTACAACCAAGTCCGGTTTTACGAATGACGGGCTGCGTACATACTTCTCGTATAACATATCGTAAAAATCAAATTTCAAATTTTTGTTCTCCGACAACATACAAACGTATTCCAGATTAATTTTAAGTTTTAACCCCGGCCCGACCATTATAATCGTCACTGAGATCGCGGTCCCTATTAAACGCGGCAAAACTTGCCACCCCATCAAGGTGAATTCTTCCCGGAAACCAGCACCTACAACATGAATGACTATAGCTTTGCTTTTTGGGACATAGTTCAATAATCGCATAGCATGAAACAACGTCAAGGGACGTGTCAGATGTACCGAGTGTTGGCCTATCAAGATATTGCGTGACATCTCCGAGTCAGTCGGAATATTCCAATAAGCGTTCATAAAGTCTTTCATGTCCTGAAATTTACCCTCGTCGGTAACGTGTCGCAAGTAACGACGTATATCTGGAGAACCGGCTTCTCCTCTTATAGTTAATAAATCTGAACGAAAACGTAGTTCCAGGGGAGCGCAGATGTTCTTGTGCTCAGTGCCGTTTACGTGATTTCTACAAAAGCTGGCAACACACTTTTCACAATCGTTCAACGACTGAGCGTTCTGTTCGTGGCAAACCAGGCACTCCCTTGGAAAATCGATCATTTGTATCTCATCCGCATTCAGATGACGTCTCAACTTGTTCGATAATAAAAACATAAAGTAAAGCTTCTTTTTTTCATTCTCTAGAATTACACCCGAAGATAATACAGTTATAATGGGATTATCCATACTGTGGTCTCGCAGCACGTCTTGTATAGCTTTGCACAAAGGTTTATGAAGCTTCCAG